TTATTAACAGTAAAAAGTAATGTTTAAAATTTGAATTTAATATAAATATATTAAAATTTATGCATGAGATAAATGAATATATAAGAATTAATGGTGGTGTAAATTTCTCCAGGGGGGGGGAGAAAAACATAGATCATAGCACGCAGTAAGCTAAACTGCACCAGCAAGCCATTGAAGCAATCGCAAAATATCGAAAAAAACCAAATCGAACAGATAAATCTTTGAAAATACAGACTGAATCCTCAAACCACAAGCATCCTAAAATGTAGGAGACACGGCCACAACTTCATAGATGTGTCACAGGATAATATGGCCAACATTTGAGACCGAAAATACTCCTAGAAAATTATAAAACAAAATCTACAGCAGTTGTTTTCTCGCGAAAAATAAGTAGTAATAGACCCAACTAGCAAACGAGCGGTTCCGTAACATCCAGCAGCTTTACATTGAACATAGCAGGAACTGAAACAACAAAATTAGATAACATATGTATTACTACTTTCTATGGCAGCTAAAAAAATATAGCATGTGAGAAAGTCAAAAGCAGTCTCCATAGAATTTCCAGTAAATGTTTGTAGCTGCCATTGTGAGAGATTTGTCGTTCTAGAATTTTGTCAATAATATGATTTTAGATCAGATAATGCAATTCATCACCTTCAAATACTTGAATGCAAAGATGCATATATTGTTTTCTACATATAAACATCTCTTTCAATGAAAAGAATGGGTGCGGAATTTTACTAAATCCAAAGCTCACATTTGTTGGGATTTGGGCAGATCAATTTCAGTAGCATCCATGTGACAAGCTAATGTGCAAATGATAAAACACTGGGTGTAGGAAAAGGAGGCACGATTTTAAAAAATGACCAGTTTATTAAATTTATCATTTAATTTGCTATGGTAAGACAAACAATGGTTTCAAATTTGACAAACATTCTCAAAACTCCATTATAAAAGAGGATCGCAATTTCACATTTTTTTTAAAAAAAAAAATGAAATCATTCACATTCAAAATAGATAGACAGCATCAATATTTTTAAAAACATGTTTTTATTTGCAAGCAAACAAATAAGACTTTGCTAGAGATCAAAAGCAATGTTGCTATTAAATTTTATGCTTTTAATGATCTCACCTGGATACAAGCTGAAAGCATATAACTGCAGGCTTTCAAGAATCTGCAACAAAACCGAACATTAGTCCGGCCAGCAAAAATTAACAAGCAGCAAAATAATTAGATAACTGTATAAACAAGAGTAATATGAAAGAACACAAAAACAAAGTAAACCTATATATTGAAACATATAATAAGTTCTACAGTCAGGAAAAAATATGCTTATTTTACGCCTAATTAAAACTTGAAGTTGCATAATATACAAGAACAGAAGTAAAACAGCCGTGTACAGTAGCGGTGGCTCAATCACAGCAAAATGGTAAACCTTATGTTAGCTCAAAGAATTTTTAATCAAATGGACAAAACTTAAATTATTCATGCTTAATAAATATTCATTCCTAATAAAAACTGCATGAGAAAATAAAGATATTTAGCCAAAATCTTCTTATACAACTTTATCCGTTTAACCTTTGACCTAGCCCTTTTTTATTTCATAATCATTCCACATTATTTTCATTAATCATAATGTAGAGAAGGAAACAAAAACAGGTTACTAAGAAATTCAAATCTAACGCTCATAAAAGGAGAAAGCTTCCCCAAAAAGCTATTATCAACACTTAACCTACGTAGACAATTCCCGGCCAACAGCAAATATAGAAACACAAGACAATTCCCCGCCAGCAGCACATAGACACACAAAGTTCGAGAAGAAATACAAAATTTTATTGAATGATTGAATATCATTAATATGCCTAAATAAGTTCTATTTATAATCAAAACCTAACCCATAATTGGTAGTTCCCCAAATCAAACAACAAAAGCAAAATAATAATAATAATAATAATAATAAT